CCGTGCGTCGCGGCCGCTGCGGTGTCAGCCGGCCGCCGCGTGCAGCGCCAGATATAAACCGCGCCCCGACCAACCAGCGCCATTCCTCGCTCGTCGACTCTCACATATAAAAACTCCTTTCACTGCGACTTTTTAATTTTATATATTTTATAAATACTGGCAACATTTGGATATTAACTTTTGGCGAATGTCTATGGGTAGCGGCGGGTTCTTAACTCCACGTCAATGCTTGTTCCGTTGACTCTTTCTTCAACAAAAACTTAATTAATCTTAACAAAATTTATAAATGTGTTTTACTTATATTTTATAATTTAAATCTTTCTATGACCGCAGACTAATGAGTAAAATATAGAAAAAAAAATCCGCCCAAACCCGAGATAAGGCGTTGGTTTAAATACATAAATCATAAGAGATACGAGTACTTGATATTTACGTCGTGATTTATTTTATTTTATCAAACACTTAATTTGCAATATACATGGACATCTGACATATTTATTGCTTCGGATTTTATTGGTTGAGATTGGATGGTGTAATGTTTTGAATTTACGATGATTATTTTTAATAAATAACTTCCCAAATTTTAACAAAGTACTCGCAACATTAGTTTATTTAAGAATTTTTATTGAGATGTTTTTAAGGTTTTTGAAGTAGAAACAAATAAAGCTACTGGCGATACCACTGTTGTATTCTAAAAATACCAAAAGATTGTTAAAAATATTTTCTGCCACACTCCTAACCTGGCGCTAGTTGCGCACGCATACCTGGATTGTTATAACTAAGTGATATATGAAAACGGCAACGAAAATAAGCTGAACGTCAATATCACATATCTTATAGAAAGCAATAAAACAATAGGCCGATATCAATGTGAGCTGGTAATAAAAATCGACGTCAGTCACCTGCTATATCGAAACTGCGGCCCACGCACAATCCGAATACACAGCGTCGACTGCCAAGCGAATTAAATAGAGTGGATTTTTCAAAGTAACGTTTGTGCGCAAACAATAGGACGAGGTAACGTTGCTCTACCCTTGATCACCGACGCGACCACTTGTTGCGTGCCATCAAATGTACAGCGTCTTTACTCAGTCGGTTATAGCTTTATAGCCCTGTAATTATACTAGTCGAACCGTCTAAACTGGAACACATTAAAGTTTGCGTTGATTTCGAACGATAAAATACAACGGTCTGCTCATACCACGATATGCTCTACCACTCAGGAAGTATATGTAGACGGTTACCACGGTTTAACATCTGTATTTCTTTACGTCATAATAATGAAATATAAGGGAAAATGCCAAAAAGAGTTAATATTGTGGTGGTCGCTAGCCATAGCCATAGACGTCGGCAACATATTGGATGCATTGACTAGCTTTCGCCCTAGACTCTGTCCGCGTGATATTAAAAAAACAAAAGTGAGTAGCCTATGTGTTCTTCCAGACTATCCTCTACATCTGTACCAAATTTCATCGTAATCTGTTAAGCCGTTTAGGCTACAAACTCTAACAATCCATCCATCTAAACTTTCGCATTTATAATATTAATGACAATAATGCAACATCTGATTGTAACAAAAACAGTTACGTGATGAAATAAAATTAGTAGTTTTATATAACATATCTACAGTTTAATTTAGTCAGTGTCAATAAGCCGCCGTTTTATCGATCGTAGCCTCACATTTATGGAATATTTTTATTAACAATAACATTAATCATTCGCTGTTACTTTACTCTACTATGAAGT